TCTTCAACACCACAGGTCAAAGGCATCAGATCGTCTCCAGTTCTTCTTATTCATTTTCTTCCTTTCAGATGCATAAGAAACAACTTTAAATGCCATGGCTTGGATCAAGCACACTTTTGTCTTTAAATTGATATTCTTATTTGTTGGTACTTTAGAAAGCTCCTTGACAGCAATTTTCTTAATGCAACGTATCTTTTGATTTCTTGATTTGTTGCTACCATATCACTGTGAACACAAATAAAACCAAATCCTTGACAACTTCAGTCTATTCTAGATGATAAACATCATTGTCTTGTGATGCAGATTTTTGTTTTCTTGGGGTTAAAATGTAATCCACATTGAAAGCTGATGTCTTTGATCTTTAATAAATAGTTCCAGTGTTCTCCACTTTGTGCAAGCAAGGCTGTGTCATCTACATCATGCAAGTTATTGACTCGTGAGTCTTCTTCCAATGCTAATGCCACATTCTTCTTCATAGAGTCCAGCTCCTTTAATTATTTGCTTGGAGTACAGATGGAATGTTGTTGCTAGATGACACTGAGTCAAGTAAGGCTCAGAGTGACTATGAAGAACAGATCTGAACCCTGTCCTGTCCTGCATCAGACTCACAATTTCTATCAAGCTTGAACCCATTGTTACAGTCACTGTGCCAATCCATCATGCTGAAGGTTTTCATCTCCTTCTCTGATCCTTCACTTCCCCTAGCATGATGATGTCTTTTGCCAAGGACTAGTCTCTCATGACAACAGGATACAACCCTGATGCACAGGTATTGTGGTATTAACATGAGCTTCAAGGAACTGTTAAATGAGGAAAACGTACATGAAAGATTAAGAAATGGTGTGGAGTTTTCTACGTCAGTTTGGGACCAATTTGCAGAGCTACAGAAGAAGAATAATCTTTCTGGAAACAGACTGTCTCATGTTTTTCCTACGGCATTATTCACCTGGTACTGTCAGGCTGGTACAGAGAAGTCAAGGACATGTCTGCTGAGAGCTTCAAGCTGGACAAGACAGAAGATCTCTCTGGTTTGATATCTTTTAAAAGCCCGCAATAGGATATCATGTAAACCCCTGCCTCTCTCCTCTTCCCTTCTGTTCTCCGAGGAACAATCTCAAATTCCATCTATTTCTCCTGTCCCCTTTTCTTTCACAGAAATACTACTCCTAGCTTCTGAGAAAACCCCAAACTCTTCTGGAAAGGGGTATCCCATCAGCCCAAGAGAAGAGTGAATTTACCTCTATTCATGCTTTAAGATATTATTGGCTACATATTGTTTTAGTGCAGCACATAATTACAGAAACAGCTCTGAAAATCTGTATGTTTTATCTGTGCTTTATTATACCAGGAATGCTCCCCAATTCTTCCTTCTACATGGACTTGTTTAAAATATATTTTGGCATCCTTTATGTCATCCTGAAATTGAATAGCCAATTCTTACTGTAATGAAAATACTTCTGCGCCAGCTCAGTGATATACAACACTAGACTCTAATTACGGCTGTGCTTTAATTAACCTGAATTGAAGAGTGTTATCATTAAACTGCTGGTAACTTTGAGTTATGGCTTTTCTTTAATTTAAAGTAGAAAACACAGATAATTAAGCCTCCAGATAATCAAATGCTTGAGGAGAGCTTCAATGTTTTGGGATGTTCCTAAATCTCATTAAATGTCCTTCCTTTATTGATTATTTCTACCTCTGCTGTATCATTGTGTTAAACGAATAATAGCACTAAGTTGAACACATTCTCTGTCACATCAAAAGTGTAGGGGGAGGCAGGTTCCACTCGCAACAGTGAACAAATTCTAAATTCTCAGACAACAAGGAGGGTTGGAGGGACTTTCTCCTCAGAGGTGTTCTAAATAGGAAAATGAATTAAGGGAAATATCCCCAGCAGACACTAGCTCTCTGCACTTCAACTGGCTTTGAAGACGGGACAATTGATGCCATGGGTCTGGGCTGGCAAAGTCTGGGGCCACATCTGTTCTGTGAATGTTGCAGGAAGGGAGAAGCCGCTACCACACAGAAAACAGGGCAGCATTCTGGAAGAGTATAGGTCCGGTATGACATCACGTTTTCAAGAAAAGCCAGAAATCTCATTTCACGTAGAACACCACTATTTTAAAATGTAAGCACTAATTTTTAAAGAACTAGTACTGTGTGGGCCAAATATCCACTGTAAATTTATTCTGTGCTTAGCCTAGCTGCGGCCTCAATGGGAAGAGTCCCTCTACCCCCCACCCCAGTTCTAAGGCAGGCCCAGCACCATGGCAGAACTGTGCTCCTGACAGTTCATCAGTGGAAGTAGCTTGCCAGCTCTTTCTACTGAAGTACCTCCAGGCTGATTTGAACCTCCAGGCTTCTCGTTGGCAGCTGAGCCCCTTAACTGTTTGCATTACACAGAAACTCTACCAGTTAACACGCATAAAATGAACTCATATGGCTATGAGGACATTAAGTGAAACAGTAGGAAAACAAAAAGAGGTAGGAGGTTTTCTGAGAAGCATTCATGTTAGACACAAATACCACTCAGCACAGGAAAACTCAACGAAGAGGGTGGTGCCCAAGCCCCTAGCCAGGAAGCTCACCACACTGGGGGTGCCTCCAGTTGTTGGCAGCTCTGTGGTGTGCGACCAGAACCCTCTCACAGCACGGCAGGCCTCAATCATCTTTATTCTAGGACTAGCTTCTGCGATAAGCCCTCAGATCCGTGGGCTTTTCCCCCAGGCAGGCCAAGCTGACAGACAAAGTTCCCTGGAGCAGCCTTGGCATTCCAGGACCTGGGGCATCTGAAAGGTTAACTTCTTCAGCAGAAAGAAAAATAAATAGCTCTCCAAGATAGAATGCCAGGAAGTTACAATAGGGCATCCATTTTCAGAAAATAACTCTCTCTGAACCCATTACCTATTCACTTTTCCAGTCCATTTAGCATTTAAACGTTTGCTTAGAGACAAGGTGAGAAATTTCAGTAAACAACAAAACCATTTTGGATTGTTAAGGTTTAGGCCCTGGGATTGATGGGTGCGCCTGCTGTGCTCATTGATGAGCATCTCCTGGAAGCACCCGCCCTGTCCTTTCCTGCACAGAACGCTCACTTTTGGTTCAGCATCTTCAGAAGTCCTTTCTCAGAGGACCGGACTGACGTGTAGGTGCACAGGGCATCCATGGGAACAAATGGTCTTCCTTAGCTAAGCAGGTCCTCAGATCTAAGTCTCTTCCCAGTTTCTGATAAGTGTGACGGAGCTGACCAAATCCATTGCTAACTGTTGATTGCTCAGGCTTAGTGCTTCCTGGGAATTCGTGTTTTAATAGAAGGCCAAGTCCCTGTGCCACTGGTGTGTCAAATGCCATAATGGTTCCCCATGGTGGAAAGTTTTTGGTGAAGCTCCCAGATTGAGATATGCTTGGAAGCAGGACTGGCATCCACTTCCTAAACAATGTGCCTTTGGAAACTCTATGAATATTAGAGAAATAACAATAGTTATAGAACAGGGTTCAGATCTTTTGTTCATAGGGTTGCTATGAGTCATGCTCAATTCGATGGCACTTAACAAAAGCAACAAGTCCCTCTTTAGCTCAAACCCAGTATTTGAGATTCTAACTGAGGAACACCAGGCATCATGACATCTCACAGTGAAAGTTTCTTTGGTCTGCTGCCAAGGTCAGCCTATACGTGATCACCTCACCTACTTTCTGGGGTGCATAGGTCTGCCCCTTTTCCTCACATGTCCTACAGTACCAGCATAAGGATAAGAAGCCTTGTTGATCATCAGTCATATCATGGGTTAAATTAAATTACTAGGGATTTTTTTCTCTCTAGAGTTCCTCTGCACATTTGATTCTACATTTCTCTCAGAAAATAAATGACAGGTTTTTTTCTAAGTCATTTACATTTTAGTTGTTGTTGCTGAGAATATATACAACAAAACATACACTAATTGAACAACTTCTACATTTACAATTCAGTGAAATGGATTCTATTCTTTGAGATGTGTAACCATTCTCTCCCTCCTTGATACTCCTTTCCTGAGTTGTTCCTTATTAGCACAAACTCAGTGACCTTGCACGTTCCTATCTAAGCTTTCAAGTTACTGTGGCAAACAAATGTGGTCCCATATAGAAAGATCTTAAAAGAACACAATGTTCAAGATGGGTATTCTTTAATAGTGAAGCTAAAGTACTGGTTGGTTTTAGGAAGGCTTTAGGGGATATTTTTGGCTTAATTATCTCAAATGCAATAGTTCCAAGGATTCATTCAGTAAATTTTCCCACTGTTCCAGATTGGCTGTATTCCTTAAAAAATTTGAAATTCTGTTTGGAATTTTTCTTTGACTAGTATTCTTCTACAGAATCTTTAATCAAAATGCTCAGTAATGGTAGCTGGGCACCATTTAGTTCTTCTGGTCTCATGGCAAAGAAGGCAGTTAGCAATGCTCAATATGTTCCATTCCTTCCTCCCTTTTGTAACTCTCCTTCTTCTGCTGCTGTTTTAGGTGAACAGAGCCCAAGTATAGTTCCTGGGAAGGCTGTTTGCAAGCCTCTAAGACTAGGCACTACACAGTCAACTCAAAGGTACAATGGTTGCAATGAACATGCTATTTCAGCCAATTACTTAGGATTCTCCATGGAACCATGACTAATCTCCCAAAACAAAGGGACAAAATTCCACTGAAGTCTTTGGTTGTATATAAGCTTTCTCAGTATCTCCCTTTTTTGACATTTTTATAAGTATATCTAACACACAATGTTAGAAAATCCTAAAGGAGATTAAAATTCCTATCATCAAGGATCTGTCAATATTCTCTTTTGTTGTACTAAAGTCAGAGATCATGCTCACTTTCATAAATGAATCTGTATCACAAAAGCATAATTCAAGATATGTAATATAATTGTATTTAATATATTATCCCAAACCAGCTGGCATCCCTTAGGTAGGCTCAGGCTATATTCTGCCATTCTGTTCACAGAAGTATCATCAAGAGGCAGTTAAAGTCACTTACTCACAAACAGTAGGGAAGGACAGACCCACAAAGGCACTGGAAAGATATTCTGTGTACATTTCATTTGAGACTCCTTCCAAGTAGTATTTCTGCCATGTGTCTTCCTCAATCTACGGGAGAAAAGCACAAGAAGAGGGTTAAAAATACAACCACAGGTGGCAAAAAGGAACGTGAGGCACACCATCTGGCAAAGGAATGAATGCGTTTAGATGACAATGACCTGGCTTGGCAACCAGGAGACAGCCAGGCTGTCCACATGAAGCTTTCTCTCTCCCAAACTCCAAGGCTGGATAAATGGCTTGGTAAAAGATCACTCGTTTTCAATCCATACGATTTGCAAGGATGTGGAGATGAGAATGCTCATACACATCACAATACTGTGAGTAGGCATATTGATGAAATTTTCTGGAGGGTAATTTGGTAGTAGTTATCCAAATTTATAAAAATGCATACTCTGGTACACATCAATTGTACATTAAATATTCATAGAAAGGAAATAATTAGACAGGTACACAAAAAACGTAAGGAAAAGAACATCTTTTCTTTCCTAAAAAACGTGAAATAACCTAAGTGTTCACCACAAATGATATGTTTAAACCATGGAATAGTGAGAAGAAGTTAAAAACTATGATGAAAATATGCATCTATCCATATAGAGATTATGTAAAAAAGGCACATAACACAATACTATGTAAAGCTTTTCCTATTTTTAAAATAAAAATATTTGATATAACTAGTATGATATAACTATGTGAATATTTTGATATAACATAGTATGATATAACTATGTGAATATTTATTAAGCTATAGAAAAATCTAGAACATTTTATACCAAAATGCTAACAGCTATAAGTAGTCTCAGAGAAGATTTGCTCTTAACTTCACTAAGCACATACATACAAATACTCATTTACACACACACACACACACACACACACACACACACACACACACTCACAGACTCCAAAAGTTGCACTAGGACAGAAGCCAAAATGAAAAGAAATGCCAAAGTAAAAGTGATGAACAGGAGATTTAAATGGGCAGCTTAAGACAAAATAAAGTATTATAATGAAATGTGCAAAGAGCTAGAGTTAGGAAATAAAAAAGACCACACACTTGGCATTTCTCAAGCTGAATAAATTGAAGGACAAATTTAAGCCTCGAATTCCAACACTGGGAGGAATACACAGAGTTAAAGAATTGGTTAACACAACTATTTATATGATCAAGAAACAACAGTAATGAAGGAAGAAGTTCAAGCTGCACTGAAAATATTTGCTGCAAGATTTGATGGAATATCAACTGACATTCAACAAATGTGCACCTTGGATGTGCTCACTAATCTGTTTTTAAAATTTCATTTTATTTGGATCCAAAATCAGCACCCATGGCAACAGCAGTTGAAAAATAAAAAGACATGTGGCATTGAGAAATCTGCTGTCAAGGACCTCTCCAAAGTGCTACAGAGAAAGGATTTCCGTTTAAAAACTAAGGTGGGCCTGATCCACACCATGGAATTTAAATTCTTCATGTGTATTTGAAAGAATAAATTTCTGTGAAAGATAACATTCATGTTTGTTTCTAACTTTACAAAATCTTTATTTTTTTATGTTTTAGATAAATATTTATTGAGCATCTTCTGGACCATAGGTTCTATTCTAGTTACAATCAAATTTATTTTAACCAGGAACTTATTTTTCCCTTTACTAGAAAAAGCACCAGATAGCTCTAACTTTTACAGATTTCCCCCCCAACATATCTTTTCCTGCAAATTTTCCTTTGCAGATTATCTAAAATACTTCAAGACTTAAAGTAAAATAACCTGAAAATATGTATAGAACACTCCTGGCAAACAAAATGTCTCTTCCACATGCATCTGTACATTCTCAGATGTTATCTATAACAACAGAAAAGAAGTCCTTGATAAACTATGAAAACACTGAGGAGTTTAAATCCATTATTACAGCCCTTTCTTTAGGGTTTCCAAATCCAAACAGATTCTCACCATATTTTTGCACTTTTTTATAAAGGTTTTAAACACATACATGTACATAAACTTGATACTTTAATAACACTATAACACTTTCTAATTCATTTGTACAGAATAAAAGAAGAAAGTTGGTATTAATAAAAATATGCTGGGTCCCTTTTCATTTTTATTTAGCAGGGAGGGGAACATAATATTTTTAAACTGTGCTACCAAGCCGAAAGTGGGTGATTGTCATCTGTGGCCCTCGGCCAGGTTCAAATTGTCTTCCTGCCAAACATTCTTCTAGGTGGGATAGCACTGGTCTGTGCGTTGCTGTACAGAGGTAACTCGTGGTTGCTGTGATGCTGAAGCCTGTGACAGTGATGTGCTGGAGCTTCCCAGCTAAATCAAGCCTGGAAGCACGAGCGGCATCCACTTCCAAAATGGCTTGTCTCCGGAAACTTTATGTACGAACAGTGCTCAGGCTGTTCGTTCATAGGGTCGCTATGAGTCGTCTATGGCTCGACGGGATTAAACAACAACAACAATGTATTATATCAAGAACATCTAAAATGGTAAAAGTAAAAATAAAACCCATTTAAAAGATAAGAAGGAGAGGAATACCAAAACAAATATCAAAACAGACTCTGAAAATTACTGTAGAATGATGAGAAGTTAAAATGAATGGAAGGAATGATGAAGCAAGAGAGCTGAACAGATGCTTCCAAAGCAGTCTGTGCAAATGTGCAAAGACCTGTCATCAGAAACCCAGAAGAGAAAAATAGGCTCAGTATTTCTCAAGCTTGAAAAACTGAAGGGACAGTTTTGAGTCCTCAGTTTCAACTGTAATGGATTTTGCAGAAGGCATAAAAGTGAGATGGAAAGAATAAACAATCTTCATACCAAAAAGAATTGATAAAAAATCATTGCATGCAGTGGCATGTGATCAAGGAGCAATGGTACTGAAGAAAAAAGAATAAGTTGCACTGAGTTCATCAGTAAAAAAACCAAGACTCCAATTGAAATATGTCAATGAATAGTTGCAGTGCTAGAGGTACACCCTTGTCTATGCCAAAAAAAAAAAAACTGTTAAAAAATAGCCACTGGCAATTCAACTGGAAGAAATTCACATTTGGGCCATTCCAAAGAATGATTATATTGTGGAATTTGTTAAAATAATATCAATACAAAACACAATTAAAATCGTGCTGATGATAATTTTCTAATGTTAACACAGAGGACAGCTAGAAATTCCAGTTAGGTTCAAAAGAGCATGTGCAGCATAGAATGTCAGATTGATCATGGCTAAAATCAGAGAATCCCAGAAAGGCATATAATTATATTTTACTGAGATTATGCAAAGGCATCTGACTGTATGGATCATAACAAATAACTGACAATATTATATAGAATGAGACTTCCAAAACCCTTAACTGTCCTCATGCAGAATCTTTGCATAAACTAAGAAGCAGTAATCTGAATAAAACAAGGAAATACCACATGGTTTAAAATCAGAAAAGGGAGTACAGCAGGGTTGTATTCCTTCGCCATACTTATTAAATCTGGATGCTAAGCAAGCAAATATCCAGGAAGCCAGACTATGTGAAGAAGAGCCTAGCATCAGGATTAGAAGACACATTAAGAATATGCAAAAGGGAGATGACATAACCTTGTCTAATGAAAATCATTTTTAAAGCCTCCAAACTTGAAGTTCCTACTGATGTACATTAAAAATCATAGCTTCACACCTCACCATCAAGAAAACAATAATCATCAAAAGTAGACCAGTAGACAACATCAAAATAAATGGAGAAAAGATTCAAATTGTCAGTGATTTCATTTTACCTGTACCCAGAATTAATACTCACAGAAGCAGCAGTATGAAAGTAAAGAACATAATGCATTGGGCCATTCTGTTGCCAAGCTACTCTTTAAAGAATGAACAAGGATGCCCTTTGAGGACTAAAGTGAAACTGACCCAAGTCATGGCACTTCCACTTGCTTTATATGCATTTGTAAAAAGGACAGCATATAAATAAAACCAAACAAAAATTTATCCATTGCATTATTTGGTGGTGAAGAATATTGAATATAGCATTTTCTGCCAAAGAACAAACAAACTTGTCTCGGAAGAAGGGAAGCCAGAGTGTTCCTTGGAAGCATGGGTCATGAGACCCTAACTCACATTGTTGTTGTTATGTGCTGTCAAGTTGCTTGTAACTCATAGTGACCCTATGTACAAGACCCCTAAATACTGCTCTATCCTGTGCCAACCTTACCGTCTCCGATGCACTCATTCCCACCACTCCAATCATAGAATTGATCCATCTCATCGAAGGTCTTCCTCTCCTGCGCTGCCCCTCCACTCTCTCAAACATGATGTCCCTCTCCAAGGACCAGTCCCTCCTTGCAACATGTCCAAAATATGTCAGACAAAGCTTCAGAATCCTTGACTCCAAGGAGCATTCTGGCTTCACCCTCTCCAGGACAAACCTGTTTGTTCTCCTAGCAGTCCATGGTATATTCAAAACTCTTCTCCAGCACCACAGCTCAAAGGCATCAATTCTCTTTCTATCATCCCTAGTCACTGTCCAACTCTCTGATGCATAGCACGTAATTGTGAAGACTATAGCCTGGGTAGGGCGCACCTTAGTCTCCAGCCTGATGTCACTGGTTTTCAGTACTCTTGAGAGATCCCTGACAGGCTTACTTCCCAATGCAATTCATCTCCCGATTTCCTGGCTGCTGTTACCAAGAATGTTGACTGTGGAGCCAAGCAAACTAAAAATATCAATTATCTTGATCTCTTCACCATCCGTAGTGATGCTGCACATACTTATGGCATATTTTAAGGAAGAGTCAATCCTTGGACAAAGACATTGTGCTTAGTAAATCAGAGAGTCAGTAAGAAAAAAAAGTAAGACCTTCATGTGATGGAAGGAAGATTTTCAATGTGATGGACAGAAGACCATCAATACTCTTCTCCAGAACCACAGCTCAAAGGCATCCATTCTCTATCATCTCTGAAACATAGCAAGCAATTGCAAAGACTATGACCTGGATCAGGCACACCTTAGTCTTCAGACTGATGTTTTTGCCCTTCAGTACTCTGGAGAGGTCCCTGACAGCCAACTTTCCCAA